CGCCGCTGCCTGGGGAGGGGGGAGCACTGCGCTCTGAGCTGGGAGGAGGGCCGCTGGCCCTGCTGACCACCTTGAGGGCTACGAGAAAACGGGCATCTGGGACACGTTACCAGCAAGAAGAGAAAAATAGCTCGGAGTGAAGCAAAACAAGACTTTTTAAAGAGGAAAACTTGAGAGTATAGCATTAAGCAGCCACTCACTAGGGTTACAATAGCCCACAAGTTCTGTATAACAAAATATTTGGACGGTTGTTACATCAGTGATCTAGAGATACGGTTCTCGTCCTACTTCTTAGAAGTAGCATTGCTTTCTAACATCTGCAAGTCACCCTCACGTATACTCTTGTAGAGGTTAATTTGTAGGTGCAAAAGCAAACTGCTGCTTAGTTAGTCTAATTGCAGAGTAACCTGAGCTATCACCTACATGCAGTAGTGACTACTCCAGTCTCCTCACAATAGTAAGGGTCCTTTTTGTCCACTGAGGCATGACTTAATTTATTTGGTTGTCTGGGAGTTTTGGTCACAGTAGCACCACCTTTCTTGCTATTAAAGATATTTTGTAGTTAGAGTGCAGATTGAGCTTTGCTATTAGCCATACACTAGCACAGACCTTGTAGATAACTGTAGTTAAACCTTTGGATTCAGAATATGGGTTTTTTTTAAATATTATGAATACTTATAACAAGCCGGCAAAAGCTTAAGTCTATTTTAAGGTTATTACTCAGTACTATTAACAGACACATACCTGTACCAAAAAATAAAAAAAACCAAACAGTTTTGAAAGTCAACATGAGCTTCAGAGAAATTTCAGTGTGCAGCCATATAAGTAGACAACACTTGAAAATATTATTTGTCTATACAACCTTCTCATTGCAAAAGTGTTTTATAAAGCTATTTAGCAAGGTTAGATATTTTTTACTATCTTGTTTAATATTAAGCATTATGAAGTGTTCAAATATATGCTGTCTACATTTTGACATGACATACTCTGCAAGATTAGCGTTTTGATTATGCTTTATTTTTGGGGCATTTAAAGAAGTTGCATGTCACAGTCATTCACTGTGGGACATGATCAAATTAAGAAATTATTTTTTAGAGAGATAAAATTTCTAAGATTTTCTGTAGTCTTTAAAATAGTTAAAATCTATCTATCACCTGTTGCTTTCAACTTTTTAATGTGTACAGTGTGATGCTACAGTGGTGCTTACAGAAAAAGCAAGATCTTACTAAGAGCTGTGGGGTTATAGCTGATGTTCTAGAACATAATGCTAAAAGCAAGTACATCTACTTTTCAGGTTTTTTAGAGCACCACTGGAAAACAAGATATGGATATAAGAACATGTGTTCAGAAAAACTCATGCAAAATGGAGCACACATGCACACAGCTCACGAGGTAAAAAACTGCAACTCATCATTATCATATTCTACTGTATTTGAAGCTGAACTTTAAATCCAGTGTTTTGCTGCTGTAGACAAGCTCTCAGTGAGCTACACAGCAACAAAAACTCCAAGGAAGCTCACAGATGTGCCAGCCTTCACTGTCTCCCTGAAGTATTATCAGCCACATCAAAACAATGCTAAACAATACTCCCTTCCTTTAAATAGTAGCTACATATCAAAAGATAAATACAGAGTTGTCCTCTCAGTGGTTACCCATATCTGCCACCAAAAAAACCCACCCCAAAACACTGACGTTAGCAAACTGCACAGACACGTAAAAGATCCGTTACAGATACGTTTAAGCTCTGCCTAACTAATAAGTATTAAAATTGTGCTTCAGACAGTCACTCATGTTCTTGCACCAGACACACATGCACACACCATGGACTACAGAGGAAACCAACACATACCCATGTTTGAAGTGCCCAACACATCGCTGACATTTAGGCAGGACAAAACCAGGGGTGGTTGGGTTTTGGGCGTCTTTTTTGTTTTGTTTTTTGTTTAAGTTACCAGGCAAACTACTCACGTCTAATAGAGCACCAAACCAGCAGAATTTACTAGACCAGATTTGATTTAAGCATCTATCATGGCCAAATAATTCCACTGTGTCTTTTACTAATTACTTCACAAAAGAAGTAGAAAGTAATTGCAATAATGGATAAGTTTTTTTTTTATAAAATAACATCAGATAGAATTCAACAGGTTCTAAAAGGAGCATCCACACAACATCCAATTTTATGCAAGAGTTATAAGATTGGGAGATTAAAGTTTTGCTGGCAAGAGTAAGAAAGAAGTAGCATCAAGGCATCTAAAGATTAGTAAATCTGTTAGAAGTTTAACATCTGAAATCATATGGATTAGCAATATCAGGAACCAGACCAAGATAGCTTACCACTAGCATAAACAATTAATGCCAGTGATCTTTTGAAAGGATCTTGGTGATAACTGGCTAAAAATTTCTGTACTTCTTTCTTATGCTTGATTTTTCTTAGAAGTTTTTCTACCAGCAACACAGAATTTAAAATTAAGCTACCTATGTAAAAGTTTTTCAGACTATTCATCTAGAAATCAGAACAGTAATAAAAACAATTTTTCAGATGCATTCCACCATTGGTAGTTCACATGGGATTTACATCAAAAAAACCTGAAAGCACTTTGGTGTCTGGTTGGACTGAGGCAGTTTAACTCTACTCCAAGGGACAGATATTTATGTGCATCTCCAACAATGCTTTGAGAAAAGTAATCTCACTAAGTATTCAATTCTCAAAGTATATGTATTAACACAAGTAATTTTGATAATGTATGTCATTATGTCAGAGTACAGAGTTGAGGGTTGATTTTATTTAGAAAGGAACAAATTTAGATAACTGGAAGACACAGAGGAAATAGCTAGAAGATTCATTCTGCTTTTCCACCCCTGAACATTTCATCTAATTAAAAAGTTACTTCCACTAGCTTTAGTTTTCTCATGATCTCTCACTGAAGTCCAGCTTAAGCCATGGGAACCTTAATGACTGCACTAGCATGTGAAAATGTGGCTGCTGTCAGCCTCAGTTTAAAACAGAGCCCTTCATCTGCCCTGTTTTATAGCAGACTAAGAAAACTCATTGTTTTCTACATAATGCACAGTTTAAGGAGCTCAGATTCATATCTGCACAGCCTCTTATGAAGAAGCACACAAAACTATACTACCTTCCTCTTAAAAAAAGGAGAAAACCACCAACAAAAAATATCAGAAGCAAGTGAAAGCAATGGAGAGAAGAGCAAATGATCCTGGAGAATGCAAAGTTTTACCATGCCTCACTATAAAAGAAATCACCAGAAGTTGAACAAGCTACATTCAGCGACACCAGAAGCTTAACAAAAAAATTCATCTGAAATATGATTACTACTACATATTGCACTAGCCAGCAAAAACACACCTAACTTGTTGCAACTCTTGAGGTGGCAGAAATCAGTCCTTCACTTATTAGATTTTAGGTACCCTTCTCTCAATCTTCCTGCCTGAAGCAAGTTGAAAAACTTAGTCCTTGATGATTTCAGTGGTGTCACAAATGGCATGATTCCTCCCCCACCCTCTCAAGTTTTTTTTTTTTTTTTTTTTTTTTTTAATTTGCTGAGTTTCTGCAGCTTTTTCCAGTTCAAGTAAATTACAGAGGTATTCCTGAAACACAAAAACTGACTGCTCCTATTATTTAAAAGATAGCTTGGCATATGAAGGAAGATTATTAAGAATATGCAACATATACAATTATTCCTGTGTGTTTATCACATAACTGGAGAAAAAAAAATACTTCAATGCATATAGGGGAAGTGTTACTTCCTCTACAGACAACGTTCTGCTCCCCATTTTCCAACACTGTAGGCAACCACAGGATTGAAAGACTTAAAAAGCAAGTTCAAAAGCTTATTGTGGCTGCTGTTTCTACTGTTTAAGCTGACAAACGAAACAGAGCTGCTGTATGTAATGTTATCTCTAGGCTCTGCACTGTTTACAAATGGACCAGTGAAGGTTGGGAACTCCTGGGACACATGTACGTAGTTTATTTTAAACATTGCCAAGGCATGCAAAATGCCACACAAGTTAGATTTAATACTGAGCAAGACCGTGCACTCTACAACGAAGACACTGCTTTGACTTTCTCTTTTGCTAGAAACAGCTGCAGGATGTTCATACAACAGTTTACCTGTATTCCAGATCTGAAATTCTGCACGTATGGTTTAGTTCTTTATGATGTTCTTACATTTATTATGCTTATCTCGTCACTATCTCCAGACATGAGAAGTGATTACAGTACTAGTCCTTAACCCTTACTTTCTTAGAGGCAAGAAAACCAAAATGAGGAGCGATGAGTAATATTTTCTTTTCAAATCAAATGTTTCTAAAGTTTTTTGATACACAACACTGAGTTGGAATTTGTTAGCATTAGGTCATTTTGCTATCAATCTGAAATCAGCTGTAACATGTTAGAGACTGGCTATCATGGTCACTTTGAAAATAGTGCCACATATACATGCACAATTCAACAAGCCCACAGTGACATGCAGTAACAGCTCAAGGAGGTTATGGTGGGGAAGGAAGTCAAAAAGTGCTTTTCTGGCAACACTGGTGGGTGTGGGGAGAAGTGGTCTGCTACATGCATGCTAAATATGGTGGAACATTGAGATACCCTACCTGAGGGGTGATCCGATGAGCAATGTAGGAGGGGTGGGGTTACTCCCTGCATTGTGCCGGCGCCGTACTGCCTGACGCCTAAATGTGCTGCGTTCACGGCGAAATGTGACAGTCTCCTCGCTGGCTTGTGCTGCTGCAGCAAGACAGACTTCAGGTCAAATAAGAACCCATCCTAGTGACGTACACAGTTACTACTTAAGACTCCTTTCTTCCCCCTGACCCTCCCCAAGTTAATGAACTTGACTTGAAACAACAGAAGTAGCTTACGCACCGACTGTTCAAACAACCTGCCTCAAGACAGGATCACAACACAATCTGTAAAAATTTGGGTGCTTGGATTTTTTGGAGGGTGGGGTGCATTTATTCTTGAATATACAGCTTTGGTTTTTTTCACCCCCAAATCCAAGTAGCCGGACTGTAAAAAAAGTTGGCTATCCCAAATCTCTTCCATTTGCACAGGGCAGGAAGAGACCAAACTGATGTCACCCTTTATCTCATTTAATAGATAATTAAAAGGAGAAGCCTAAAGGACAACCTAGAATGGTTGTCTGCCACTCCTCACCATAATACTCTCTTCTCAATTTTATAATTCTGGAAAACAGCTAGGGTTGAGGTTAACCTCATCATACCTCCTCAGGGGACAGAAGAGAGTTGCTTTCTTTCTGCTTCCCTCAGAAGCACCACAGGATACAAGTTGCTCATTTTACACTAGTTACTCTACAATTTAGAGGAGCAGGGGGTTGAGATAAAGTGAGAGAATAAATTCCTTGTAAGGACTGTTTTATTTGTTATTTCAACTCCCCAGAGTCTTGGTCCACCCCTAAAGCAACACTGTAAAAGACAGTTTGTACGCAGAAGAGAGTCTAAGATTTTTCCACATTACCCCACAAAATCCACCTGTACTCCCTAAGCTTCACAGCCTGGACAACTTTGGATTTGGATTGCTTCATGGTGTGTCTACAACATCAGCATCTTCTTCCTGAACCACAGAAGCTACTAACCAATTTGAATGCGGAACACTACAGAGCTCAAATGAATGGGTCACAGAGAAAATAGGTTTTGGCAGGCAAGTGAAGGAGGAAAAAAAAAGCCAAAACAAAATTAAACAAACAAAAATAAACAAAAAACTACACATAACTTGACAAAAAAAAAAATCAGTGCAAGTGGTGAATCACAATCTTGAAGGGCAAGTCACAACTTGGCGGCCAAGTAGCTTGCTACTGGAGTGAGAAAACCAGGGTCTGTGGGGAACCAAAAGGGGGGGAACCACACACACAAAGAAAGGAAAGAAAAAACACTAAGGGAGCAATGACTTTTTTTATGGCATGGAGACTACAGGCAGAGCAGTCCATGTTCACTTAAGCACATTTCAAGTTAAAACACCTCTGTCATTAAGCTTTCAAAACTTATCAGCAAAGAATCTAATGCTGGTCTACAGGGAGTAGCAACCTCCTCCTGCTGTGTATTGCTGCCATGGCTCGAGCAATAAAGACCGCATGGAACAAGAGTCTAACCCCACTCATGAACCACAGGTTATCAGGTGAATATTGTATATGAAACCGCACACTGATTTAAAAGCTGAGAAGCTACATGAAGAGATTACTTTCAGACCAGCTTTAAAGTTACAACCATTTCATAACCAAAACATTGAAAAGTTAAGGACATCCTTAGTTGAGTCCTTTCCTGTATTTTCAGGAAAGCTGTGGGATTGCTCACTTCCTCCTCACTCCTCCACAACTGCTTTTGTTAATTGAAGCATGACTAGATGCTAGGACATTTTCAGTATATTTCAGCAAGAATTCAGTAAGTTTCTCTTGTGGCTTTATGCACAGCTTTATCCTTTAATACACAGCCTCATTTCTTCAAAGATACCGTTATTGCTTTCATAAAATCCTGCGAAAGCAAAGCACATTAAACAAGACAGCATGAATGCTGACTTTTTTCTGATAGATTAAAGTTAATACACAAGTGGTCACAAATGACCACTGATTTTGGGTGCCAATTTGTAAAGCTTAATTTTCCCAGTGTATACACTAGTATATAAAAACTCATTCAGAGCACAGCTTCAGCAGACTCCAGTTGCAGACGTAATTCCACACATTTCTGCTCATCAGGTTCTAGTTAAGCACCATACAAGAAAGAACAGTGACTGAACTGAAATGTAAACATCTTAATTACCATTAAAATGATGAACATGAGCATTACATCTTAATTACCATTTGCAACTACTGAGCAAGAGCAGAATTCAAGTGCAGTTCTTCACAGCAGCATACTCACTGACAAGATCTGCTTTTCTTTTCCTATTTTTTATTCAGTAAGCATCACCTCCTGCAATAACTGAAGCCCAAACTATGGAAACACTAGAGGTCCTTCCTACACAGCTCTAACTTATCACTAAAGCAAGTCTACCTCAAGCACTGACTGAGGCAGTGTCCTGTGAGGAAAACAGAGATAAACACATTTGAAGATTAAAAATAAAAAATCGTATGTGTTTGGGGTCAAATTCAAAGCTGCCCAGGCAAATAGTTCTGGCATTTGCTAAGTTATTATTGCTTCACTTTAACCTTTAAAAATCAAAAGTAGATTTTGGTGTGGCTTTCTACCTAACCTACCAAGGGATTTATTTATCTTGAAACTTTTGTTCAGTGTATTCACATCAACTATGTATGCTCTTCCTTTTCAGCCCAAGTTCCAAGACTGCTAACATGATGCAACACCTCAAGAAGCTACATGTTGAAACCATGACTAAGGTGAAAAAAAAGAAAAGCTAGTTGAACAGAAAGGATTTACTGTTTGTTTGAAATGTGGAAAGCCAAACTGAGCAAAGTTTGGGTTTGTTTTTTTTTTTGTGGTTTTGGTTGTGTTTTTGTTTTAAAAAGGGATCTTAAAGAACACAGAGGATTAAAAAAAATTAAACCAGTATGGAAAGCTACTTATTTCAATACAGTTATTATTATTTGTGTTCCTACTTGTCTCTAATGAGAAGGAGCAGTACAGCTGCTCATGAGTTCACCAGCAGGATGTAACAAATTACCCCCCTTCATGCTCTGAGAGGCTTAATCATGAGGGAAATAGGTTTGTTTTAACGTAAATAAGCTTCCTTTAATATTTACAAAATAACAGTGCTTTGATGTTTAAAAACTAAACTAAACAAATAAAAGTATTCCTGCAGGACAGCTTTTTTTTTTTAAAACATGTCTTAGAGCTTCACTCACACTTTCCAATGCTGTTTCTTACAATCACTTACTCTGGACTTCAGAAAGGTAAGATCCAGCATCTACACTCATTTACAAAATATAGATCTAATGGGGGGAGATAAAATAGGTTATACTTTTATAGTTCCTACTTAAGTAAATCAATAAAGGAAGACAAACCATAAGTTGTCACATAGATTTGAGCCCCTAACTTTATCTGTTCTCAAGAACAGAAAAAAATCAGTTTAGAAGTTCAAGGTGCACAAGTCAGAAATATAAATACAAAACTACATCACAGAGATCAATAAAAGGCAGAGACCTAGTGACAGGTTTGTAGAGAATTTAACCCTCTCACAGCTATTCCCAACTATATTACACCTAATTTCAAGGAGGAAATTATTTTACTTTTGTATTTAATGCAACTGTGCATAGAAAGACATTTACTGAAACTCATCCTTTTTTCCTTCCATTGCACTTCTGATTGGAAGAAAGCCAAATGAACACTTACACACTTTGAAAGTCATGAGGCTTTCATTTTGTCATCACACATTTGGAATGTTACTTTCCCAATAAAAGGACAAATTTATTGTAATGAAGAGTTCCAGAACAACAAGTAATTCACATTCCTTTGCCAAACAACTGGGAATATCTGAACATAGGTTGAACTTTTACCTGCCTGCAGCTTATTCCTTTCTGAAACTTCTCTTTCTATACTGCAAAATGTAGTGTGAACCTCTGTAGTTCAAAGTTTAACAGAACTGAAGACTCAAATTTTTACATCACAACTACACAGTTGTTGTACAATATAATTAGCTTTAAGAAACATAAAACGCAAATATTTACATACACAAGCCAGAACATTTACAACACCACCCTACGTATATCACTGCTTTCAAACCCAACTGCGGAAGCAGAAAATGAAAAAGCAGAATTTCCAAGTTTGATTGCATCAGTAAGTCCCATTTCATTTTTGGTAGGTAAAAATATTAAAGCCAGTGCCTCAAACAGATTCTGAAACAGAAATTCTTCCCAAGTACGAAGATCCCTAGAAAGATACGGTATGGAGGCAAGACAGAGGTAAAGCATCCATGTGGCAAACCACAGTTCTGAGGATAAAAACTACAAACTTCTGTCTGACTAAAAAAAAAACAAAACCTCATCTACAAAGGAAACATCACGTTCCTCACCTTTCTCAGGAAAACACCATCAAACTCATCACTTGAGGACTAGATGGTTTTAAACGTTAGTCAGGTTAGGCATGGTTAAATGTGCACATGGAACCCAAAGGATGATGCTTAGACATTTTCTCTCCCTAACAAATGGGAAATTGTCATTATTTTCCACCACTTCTAATGACCAACCCTACAAATTCTCAGAGAGAGATGGAATTAATTGTTTATGGCTCACACAAGCAATGGCATCTGTCTTCTGGCACTGAAGATTCTTCAAACAGAAGAGCAGAAATTTTGCTCTTCTGTATCAAGCACCAATACCTTGTGTTGAAAACCTAAGAAAAGCAATATTTCTCACATGCATTTATTAACACCACTCTTCTCATGGTTGAGTTATTCAGTTTATTCTCATGTGCCCTAAAAGTATTTGAAAAAACATACTGCTGCTTTCCCAAGTAGAAAGAAATCCATTCAGATCATCTTCAGTATACAGTTAATCACCATGGATTATGCACCACTATAAGACCTAAAATTGCAGGGGTTTCTTAAGATTTCTCTGATGAAAAAACAAAATATTTGCTTATAGTTTTATTACTTACTGTGGACATTTAAGTAAAAATATCACTAATGCCACTTTCTGAAGAATGGAGATTTGGGAAGCAAAGAAGAAACAATGAAGAACAGAGGGACATCACTGCAATATAAACTTTACCTAGAAAATAGGACAGAGGAAAACAACACACAATTTAGAAAGGAAAGCATGTCAC